GCCTTCCCCTCGAGCTGTGGAGCCGTCCGCGGGGTGCCCCCAGCGTCGTTCCCTCCTGCCCGTCCGAGCCCGAACGCTGGGGTTCGGCTCGTGGCCGTGGAACCGTCGGCCGTCCCAGGGTGTCGGGGTATTCATCCCGCGGTCGGGTTCCGAGGCGGTTCTTCCCGTCTCTCTGGGGGCGAGTTGTGTGGGGCCGCGCGTCGGTTGCGAGCTAGAACGCTAGGTCGTTCGCGAGAGTGAGCAGCGTTTGGCACGTGCTCTGTCACAGACACGACCCGAGAGCCTTGTGGATGCGGACCCCTCCGGCGACTGTGTGACGAGGCCCCCGTGCAGAGGAAGTGGCGCGACCCGGCCGCTCCGCGCAGTGCCCTGTCCGTCCCCCCTCCCGTGGTGTCGTCGCGGCTGCGATGCAGCCCATGCGTGGGAGGGAAAAGTCCCCCGGTAGTTCTCATGGCTTCCGTGGAGAGCGCCTGTGGCCGGAAATCGGGGACAGGGGAGTGTCTTGAGCTCGGCAGGAAGATGTCAGTGGCCGCCGCGGTCTCGGCACGTGTGTCCCCCGCCGCTGGGTGGCTCCACTCGCAGAAATGACCAGTCCCGGAAGTGAGTTATTTCCGTGGCGCTGCCGCCTCCTGAAGAAAGTGCTTCCAGAAGGGACAGGGACTGGCGACTGCAGCCGACAGGAAATTTAGCGACTGAACGTGGCAGTAATGGTTTCTTGTGCATCAGCTTCTAGGTGAAGAAAAGATGGTTCCTGGAAATGAGAGTCCTGGGCTAAGAGTCATTGGTAGGGCTGGAAAGTGCCAGAATACCCTTTTTATGAGATCCGAGGGAGGTCGTGTTTAGCATTTGGGGTGAATGTAGGATGAAATGATTTCCAGATTACTGCAGTCTGTACACCGTAGTAGTGAAGTCTTCAGTGGTAGCTTGGACATCGAGTTTCTTAGCCCGGCTGTAAAGAAGATGAGTTTCTCTGAGGGCTCACTTGAACCAGGTTGGAATTAGTGAAAACTGCTTTGCTAGTGGAACTTTCTCATTACAACTTTGTTTTTGCCAGAAATATAGACTGTGATCTGTAATCTGACACATCACAATATGAATTGTTCTACAAAATTTCGCAGAGTTCTTCTAGAAAGTATGACTTGCATGGGACTCTATTTTGAGGTGTAAGATGAAAATGCAGGAGGTAGTTTGAATTTAATTTTAGGCCTTTCCTGCTTAAACTTAAGCATGGAAACTCACGGTACTGTGTTAGTAGATTTAATTTTGTTTGGTAATTTACTCATGAGAATACACAGGGTTTTGAGGCAATGGCTGTCACTTTGTGCACATGTTAACCTGTTACTCACCTTTTCATTTGTCCTGTTGACTCCCAAGTACGCAAGTACCTTATAAACTGTTTTGAAAAAGAGTAATTGTTGACATCAGTACCGTTCTTATATACTTTTTAAAATATCCTGTGAATATTCAACTAATGTAATTTACTTTGTCTACCACCTCCACCCTCACCGTCCCTCTATTCCCTTTTCTTATCTGAATTAGACTTTAATTTTAGACTGGGTAAGTGAAGGTTGATTTTTAAAATCAGGCACAGTGACTCAAACCAACAATCCCAGCACTTTAGGAGACTAAGGAGGGAGTATTGCTTGAGCCCAGGAGTTCAGGATCAGCCTAGGCATACACCTGTAGTCCCAGCTACTCAGGATATGAGCCTAGGAGGTTGAGAATGCTGTGAGCCATGAGTGTGCCACTGCACTCTAGCCTGGGCAAAAGAAGGAGACTCAACTCAAAATATTTTCTTTTATATTTACACATGGGAATTTTTTTATTTTTAAATGTATAAGCATACATTCTTATGATACTTCACATAACAGGTTAATTCCCAGAGACTCGGTTTCCTCACCAATTAAACGGGAATGACAAATTAGTAGATTTTTAAGAATAAAACAAAATTTGAGTATGTGAAAACACTTTGAAAATTTGTCTCTTTATCTTAAGAAAGGGATATATTGGTTAAGAGTACTAAGTCTGGGTGACAGAGTGAGATTCCAACTTTAAAAAGTACTGAGTCTTTAGGGGAGATAAATTTATTTATGAGAGAACAGTTAATTTTATTTTAAGTAGAATAATGTGAGCCATCTGTGAGCTCTCTCTGGTTTTTAAAACTAATTTTTACTTCAGTGTATTTTGAAATTTAAAAAGGAAGAGATGATGGAAAGCACATAGTAAAATTTAGATGTGACTTCAAAATTAAACTTTTGAAAACCAGTTTAAAGGGCATTCATTGAAAAATAATCACACAAAGAAGTGTTTATTTTCTTTGTAGAAAGGCCATAAACTAATATCTGCCTTTCACCCTCATCAAAATGAAAACATACCTTAAACATAAAAGTAAAAATAAGAAAAGGAACTTCAGTGTCTTCTGTGTGCAAGCTAAGTAAATTATGCAAGAAGTAATAACATTACAGTATTCATAAAGTTTGTACTAATGTGTGAACATGTTTTGTTCTTTGTAAAGATTCAGCGTAGAAAGTTGTGCCATATAATTTATAACAGTATAAAACAGCCACTAAAAGAAATAGAATAATTGTATGAATTATTAATTGTAATAAAGTAATTGTCACCAGATATAGCAGCAGTTTTTGAGGAACAGATCAGTGATTTTCATTTAATCCCTTTGTGATCACTTGTTTTATGCTTATTGATTTAATCTGTACTCATCCTTTGAGTTTGATTCAGGGAAAAGTTGGAAAAATGTCTTGGTCTAATTTTAAAAAGAGTTGTAAAAGGTGTAACATTCCTTTTGAATTGGAAAATAACTTTTTTTCTCTCTCTCTCTTTTTCTTTTAAACAGCAGTTCTGTGGTGTTCTTGGTCACACATTTATGGAGTTTCTGAAGGGCAGTGGAGATTACTGCCAGGCACAGCACGACCTCTATGCAGACAAGTGAACTGTAGAAATTAATTACTACTCCACCAAGAAGCCCCCATAAGAGTGGTTGGACACAAAAGTGTTGACTTGAAATCCACAGAGCATTTTACAAACGTTCTGACCTGGATGGGGTAAACCTCAGTGCACTTCCTTTCTGTTGCCTCAGTATTTACTGGAGTGAAGAATTGCTGCTTCTTGTTAGGAGGTTCATTTCATTTATCATTACTTCCAACTTCATACTCAAAGCACTGAGAATTGCAAGTGGAGTACATCGAAGTAGACTTCAGTTTCTTTGCATCATTTCTGTATTCAATTTTTAAATTCTTTCATAACCCCGTTGAGTGTTTAAATTACCATGGCGCGAATGAACCGCCCAGCTCCTGTAGAAGTCACATACAAGAACATGAGATTTCTTATTACACACAATCCAACCAATGCAACCTTAAACAAATTTATAGAGGTAAGGTTTGATACTTTATTTTGTGCATAAGTTGATGGCCGTTTAATAGTGGAGCATATATCTAACAAAATTATTACTACTTTGGAACATTTGGGATGATATGCCTTCTGATCCAATTTCCATAGAGAACAATCAATGTCTTTTTTAGGTTGGAGGTAAATTATTTTATGCATTTTGAGTGGGACATGCTTGAGTTTGGATTTATAAGTTAATAGTTCTTCATGCATCTGAACTTGTTTAGTTTAAATTGATATGTGGACAGTGTAAAAGTGTAACTTTCGCTTACCTTGTAAGACACTCATATGGGGGAGGCTGCTATTTGTGGATTATTTTAAATGTCTCCTAAGCCTAATGAATAATGTCCTAGACTCAAGTTAGTTTATGTCTTGAATCTAATTTGATGCTTAGAAGCCAATTTTCAGCTATTAAATCTGCTTCCTCATGATAGTTACATAGGCCAAACCGTCTCACTGTCTACCTCTTTTTACTAAGAGAACAGAATAGAACACTGAATAATACAGCTGGATGCATACACATTTTAATTTGTAAATATCTTCTAGTGTTCAGACATAGCAAGAAGGCCTTTCAGGTTATAGGAAAATACTGTAATGGCACTTTTATTTTTGATTACCATCTCTCAATTTAATGTTGGGAGAGTTTTAATTAGTAATAATGCACTTTAAAGCCTATAGTTTTAAATCGTATGTAGATTTTTTCCCTTGTGTTTTCAGGATTTTATAGTCTTTAAATATACATCTTTTTAACTTTTGAGTTGGAGTCTCACTCTGTTGCCCAGGCTGGAGTGTAGTATCATGTTCACTGCCACTGCAGTCTCAACATGCTGTGCACAGGAGATCCTTACATCTCAGCCTTCCAAGTAGCTGGAATTAGAGGTGCACGCCACCATACCCAGCTAATTTTTTGATTTATGGCAGAGAGGAAGTCACATCAAGTTACTTGGGCTTGAACCCCTGGGCTCAGGCACTCCTCGCCTTTACCTTCTAAAGTTCTTGTATTACAGGTGTGAACCACTGTACCCGACCCTTTAGACTTTATACTATGTACTTCAAATGAATAATAATTTAAGATAGTAGTAAAATTAAATCAGATTATTAGCTTGCTTAAGTTCGTTTGATGTATAACACTCCATTTTCCTTTTATGCAATTCTAGTTATTGTCATTTAAAACAAGATTGTTTACTTGTTAAACATACCAAGGTTCAAGCATTCTTTGCATGACTTTCTCTTAGCCCGCATCTGAACTGATCAGAAATGATAGCAAATGTTGAGCAGTAGTGATATTCTAAAGACTTTAAAGTTTTTGTAATATGTGTTTTCTCCAGGAACTTAAGAAGTATGGAGTTACCACTGTAGTAAGAGTGTGTGAAGCAACTTATGACACAACCCTTGTGGAGAAAGAAGGCATCCATGTTCTTGTAAGTATTTATCACTCCTCATGTTTGATTCTTTGCTACATAAGGTTACTCAAATAAATCACAGTAAGGTTTAATAATACATGTTGCTAAACATTAATAAAAATGCTTTTGAAACATTTAGATATTAGATACTAAGAATTATCAGTATGATATTTATACTAATGGCCTAATATTTATATATTGTTTTGACTTAGGATTGGCCTTTTGATGATGGTGCACCACCGTCCAACCAGATTGTTGATGACTGGCTAAGTCTTGTAAAAATTAAGTTTCGTGAAGAACCTGGTTGTTGTATTGCTGTTCATTGTGTTGCAGGCCTTGGGAGGTAAGCGAATTTCTGTCACTCCAGCCTGGATGACAGAGCAAGATCCTATGTATAGAAAACAACAGGGCTGGGCACCGTGGTTCCTGCCTGTAATCCTAACACTTCTGGAGGCTGAGGTGGGAGGATGGCAAGATCCCAGGAGTTTGAGACCAGCCTGGACAATATAGTGACATCTGGCCTCTAAAAACATTTAAAAAAATTAACCAAGTGTGGTGGTACCCGTCTGTATATCTCAACTAAGGAGGTTGAAGACAGAGGATCACTGAAGCCCAGGTGTTTGAGGCTGCAGTGAGCTATGATTGCACCACTGCACTCCAGTCTCGGTGACAGGGTGAAACCCTGTCTCTGAAAGAAAGAGTAAACAAGGCTGGGTGTGGGTGGCTCAGGCCTATAATCTTAGCACTTGGGGAGACTGAGCCCAGAAGCCTGTCTCTACAAAAAAGTCAAAAAATTAGCTGTGCCTGGTGGTGGGCCCTGGTTGTTTCAGCTTGTTGGGAGGTTGAGGTTGGAGGATCTCTTGAGTCCAGGATGTTGAGGCTACAGTAAGTTCTGATCATGCCAGTGTACTTCAGCCTGGATAACAGAAAATGAGACCTTTCTCTCAAAAGAAAAAAGTAAACATTTACTACACATTACTTAAATAGGAAGTATAGTAGATAGTGATACTTCTGGGCAGGGGAATGTTAAGGTAATGAATTTATCAGGATTTGATTTTGCAACAATGATTTATCAAAATTCTTATCTTACCAGAGCTCCAGTGCTTGTTGCCCTAGCATTAATTGAAGGTGGAATGAAATATGAAGACGCAGTGCAGTTCATTAGACAGTAAGTAATGGGGTTCTCTTCAGTCTCTTTTATGTCCTTGTTGAATGACTCTTGTGATTATTTTTCAAGATAGTATTAGAACTAGGAAATAAACATCTTGCCTTCTTTTTTGCATTGTATACAGATGCTCATATTACTTAGATTCTAATCCAACAATATTCTTGGAATTATTATTTTGCTTTGCATTTTTGTTGAATACATTTTCTTAATTTTAATTTTTATTGAGGTATAATTAAGATACAATAAAAACACATAGGTTTCCAAGGGAGAACGGTTGACAATAACAGAACAACTGCCCAATACTACGTATAGAATATTTTGAATGATCTGGAACATGATTTTGTGGCTGTCGAATGTAACCACCAGTCAAGATTTAGAAAATTAATTTTTGGGCACATATTTCTGTCCATATCCTCTGCTGCCTCAGGTCACAGACTAATAAACAGTTGATTTATTGATTGCCACAAGAACTGTGATACAGCACACTAGACATTAATGTAGAGGGATTTGCTTTGATTGTTTCATCTTTTTCTTTCCTCCAGAAAGCGGCGAGGAGCTTTTAACAGCAAGCAACTTTTGTATTTGGAGAAGTATCGTCCTAAAATGCGACTGCGCTTCAAAGACTCCAACGGTCATAGAAACAACTGTTGCATTCAATAAAACTGGGGTGCCAGATGCTATTGCCTTGGAAGTGCAACTTGAGATAGGACCTAATTGGTCGTGCATGTTAGCCAGTGTTGGCTTGGTGTTAAGTCTGATGACGCTTCCATAGGGTATTGAAAAGCAGTTTTACCAGGCCACAGCTTGACAGAATTGGCAACCTCTGTTTGGGTTACATTCAACCTGTGTGAACACTTAGCAAAAGATTTTTGCTGTTCACATTTAAAATGTGCTTATCATTTTTAACAATTGACCTTTCCTGATATCATGCGGTGTTTAGTTGTCTTTGTTTAAATCTGTTCCCATGCCAGAATCTTTTCAATACTTAAGAAATTTAGAAAGATTAGGTGCCAAAATACCCAGCACAATACTCACATATTTTTAGTATCATATAGACCTAAAATCCCAGGAACTATGAACACTCTAGACCTTATGTGGTTTTATTTCTTCAGTCATTTCACACATTGGAAGTATGGCTTGTGTGGTTACTTGCCTGTTCACTTTATGTTTACATCTCCCACATTCAGACCAGTGCACATCAGGTTTGCTCAGCCATCAGTTGTTTGTTTGGATTTTTACCTAGTCTTACAGTGATTATTTAATGTCTTTCTGTAAATCTCATTTTGTGCTGTTATGGAAAACCTCCATTTGGGAAATCTACATTGTACAGAAGCACATGTCTTTATGTCTTCAGACAAAAAAGCCTTACAGTGAATTGATTGTTTGCACTCTAAGGTGCAACTTAACAGGGAGGGCCTGAAGAAAGAATGGGAGGGGCTATCAAGTATTTTTAGCGAAATGTTGCCTTTGTCTTGTGCAGAACCTATAGAATATGCTCTTTAATTTAGCAAATATTTTTTTAAAAGGTAGAGATGCTTTGTTATTGTAGGTAAAACAATTCTTAATCATAAAATTTCTGAAATTCTTGTAATTTTTTTCCCATACTTATCAGAAGTTGTTTACCAACTTATTTTTGTTTGAAGTGTGATTTTTTTTTTTTCTTCCCAACCTCTCTTGCAAAAAAGAAGTGGGTTTCTGCTAATGAACTGAGCAGACATCTAATATTTTATATGCCTTTTGAGCTGTGTAACTTAATATTTGGATACTTGATAATTTGTTTTATTATGTAATTGATTAAATGGTGATGTGTATTAATGTTAGTTCAGCCATATATTTATACTGTCTGGGGATGTGTGGTGACAGTTCTGTGGGAGAAATAATTTGTCAGTGTTCACCAGCTTGTAAAAACTTAGTGCGAGAGCTTAAACATCTAAATAAATAATGAACTGCGTTTATCATCATTGAGATTGTTTTGCTTAAAGTTAACTTATTTTGTAGAAAACAATGAATCGCACTTCATTTAATGCCATTTGATGTAAAGTGTGTGTCCTCGTCTTCAACAAATGAAGGATAAAATGAAGTCAGCATTTTAGCAAGCTTATTGACAATTGGTTAGGATCATGAAAACTTTGACTGTATAACACTAAAAGTGCTTTCCATTATAAACATTCCTTTTTAAAGGTCTAGATAATTTATTATTGTCTACTGAGGAGAAACTAGTTGAAGATGGCCTTAACTTAAGCTCAGTTCCACTAATTATTACTGGTTTTGTGCAATTTCTGTACCTCTATTGCAAATTATATCTAATAAATTGTTAAATTAATTTGAACATAAGTATTTGGCACATCAAAGCTTAATGTTAAGTTTTTCTTAGTAATCTGAAGTACTTCCTTTGCATAGCTCATGGAAATCTAAAAAGGACAAATGTCTTTTTAAACAGCGGTTGTAAACATAAAATAACCAATTTGAGTAAAAAGTGATACTGCACTTGTGTTTCAAAGAATTTGCTCTCATCTCTTCATGCCAGTTTAGCACTTAATGTATTTCATTCCTGAAATGTACCAGGGCAAAAAGGAAAAACAGGTCTCTGGAGTCCTTTCTTCAAATCTTAGATCTTTGGATTGGGACTAGTTATTTAACCTGAGCTGTGTTTTTTGTTTGTTTTTTAAAGAAGATACAGTCTACTTTTAATGAAAATGCAATTTTATGTGAGTGACTGCTAAATGATCAACTATTACCACACAGCCCAGAAAACATCCTTTACGTTCATTCAAAGAGGAGGTGCCATTATAATTAACGAAAAATATCTTTTGAGTTTGAAAAGTTAATTTGCAGTGATGGATTGTATATATATGGTGCTAAAAATCAATTTACTTTATAAACCTTATCTGTACAGTATACAATGTGATGAGACTTGCTTTTTATCCAAATAATTTTGTATCTTGTAAATACAGCTGATTATAGGAATGCCTATAATACATCTGAAGATTCCTTATATTTAATAAGAATTATAAGAATTCTGAGTCGAAGTCTTGAATGCAAGAAGTTATCAGATGGTGTTCTACAATTTGGTTACTTGGATTTGGATTCCCCCAATGGGATGATGTAAATAGTAACTAGTTGCCTAGGCTTGTCTATAGAAACTGTAATGTTCCTGATGTAAGTAATGCAGTTGCTGAATCCTAAGAAGAAGATGCAGTCTCCTTTTAGTTGAAGGAAAATCCTAGAAATAGGTACCAGTGGTCATTTTACTGTGCCCTGCAATCTTCGTTTTCCTTAGAGCCCCCTTTCCCTATTCCCCTGCCTTGACACAACTCCAGACCTAGAAGCAGCCAGGCCAGGCATGGGGTCTCATCCCATCCCATCCCCTTTCTATAGTGCTTCAAAAATGATACTGTGCTTCCCCCAACTTGGCTGCAGAATCTCAATCTGGGTTTTTTAAATGTATTCATCTGACAAATGTCTACCGTTTGCCAGGCATTTAAGAGTATGGCAGAGAATGTGAAAGATAGTCACCAATGAGTTCCCCACCTCTTGCTAGTATTAAGAGAATGCGTTCTGTTGGAGTTTCAGGAAATGTAATTTGAAGAGAGGAAATACTTCAAAGGGAAGTGGAAGTATAAGCAACAGTTTTTTATTTACATGTAAATGAAGTTATTTTAAAGTTTTTAGGAAAAAACATGAAGGTGGTGTCTGCTATACATGTTTATATTCTACATTCTTGCTTCCTTGAATAATATGTTTGTGTGTATATATGTGCCTCCTTACACTTGGATTGGAAATTAAAGACTGGTTTAAAAGTGTCTGACATTTAATCTTTCTCCATTACATTTGGGGTACCCAGCCTATGCAAAATCTTAGAAGGAAAGTAAAGGAAATTTTCACTTTGCCTTCAATGGATTAAAACAGTTCTATGCATTAAAGTTTGAGTGGAAGAATTGATGGTAAATCTGTAATTTGACATGTTGCCAACTAACCAGTAGATTAAAATACCTATTGATTTTATTGTCAGCATTTATTGTCAACTATTCATAATTTGATTCACTCTAATAATCCTGTATTTGTTCCAATTTTATATCTAAGGGATTTAGGGCTCCAGTTAGGTTGACTAGCTAATGAGTGGTAGAACTGAGATTTCAAACCCATTTGAGCCTGTCTGCAACAGCACACATTTCTTATGAATATACATGCCCTATGATTTTTTATGTTACCAATTCATGAGTCAAAATCTTGGCTATTTAAATCATTTTCATTTTCCTTGAAAAGTATTCTTCACAACGGCCATAAACACACATTTGTAATTTCTTCATTTAAATTGAACTCTTCTTTTTTGGCAGAAAAACTTTTAAGTAGGAGTCTCTGTCACTCAGGCTGGAGTGAAGTGGCGTGATGCTCACAGCCACTGCAGCCTCGACCTGCTGGTCTCAGGCAATCCTTCCACCTTAGCTTTCCAAGTAGCTGGAATCATAGGCACATGCTTCTGTGCCTGTCCAATTTTATTTATTGTAGAAACAAAGTCTCGGCTTGTTGCTCAGGCTGGTCTTGAGGTCAGGCAATCCTCTGGCCTCCTCCCAAAGTACTGGGAATACAGACATGAGCCACCACGCCTGGCTAAAACTTTATTTGAAGTCAGAATAGGCTTAAGTTATGCTGCAGGAACAGACAGCCTGAAATCTCTGTAAATTGATAAGATTAAGAGTTTTAGCTTTTAAGATTTGTTTTTCATGTTCTCTCTGGACTGCTAGTTGTGACGGAAGACAAGAAGGGATTTGGGATGTCTCACATGGTGATTAAATGCTTGACTGGGGAAGTATACATGTCACTTGTGCTTAGCTCAATGGACAGAATTGGTCACATAACCACCCAGCAAAAGAAACGAAACGTAAGAAGTAACTACAAGCTCCCACATCAGGGTCTATTGGAGACATCCATGGCAACACTCTAGATAAGTGAAATCTCATAAGCGGTTAAAGATTATAAGCAGCTAAATTGGACGCCATGAATTCAGGCACTACAGCTTGTGCTTAGAAAATCAAAAGCACTTATTGATTAGACTTAGTATTCCTAGTTTCGTTTTAGATGTGATTTTGGCTGATTTTCTGTCAGACTAGCAGTAGTAAATAAGAGGCGGGCCAGGCCCAGTGGCTTTGGGAGGGCGAAGTGAGAAGATTGCTTGAGCTCAGGAGTTTGAGACCAACCTGAGCAACATAGTAAGACTTTGTCTCTACAAAAAATTAGCTGGCATGATAGTGTGTGCCTGTAGTCTCAGCTACTTGGAGTTCAGGGCTGCAGTGAGTCGTGACTGCCACTGCACTCCAAACTGGGCAACAGAGTAATAATTTGACTCAAAAAAATAAATAAAATAAATAAATATATATATATATGTATGTATGCAGAGGACAGGGGAAAAGGGTATGAGTAACAGTAAGATATATTTGTTGGCCGGGCATGGTGGCTCATGCCTATAATCCCAGCACGTTGAGAAGCTGAGGCGAGAGAATTGCCTGAGACCAGGGGTTCGAGACCAGGGGTTCGAGACCAGCCTGGGCAACTTGGTGAGACCTCGTCTCTATAATCTAGAAAAATTAGCCAGGCATAGTGGCACACACCTGTAGTTCCAGCTACTTGGAAGACTGAGGTAGAAGGATCTCCTGAACGCAGCAGGTCAAGGCTGTGGTGACCATGAGTGTGTCACTGCACTCCAGCCTGGGCTACAGAGTGAGACTACAACTCAAAAAAATTTTTTAAATTATGACAAATTCAAATTATAAAAACTAAATACAAAAAGTACAGCCAATGATATGACTGGCAGCCTTAAGATTGTGTACCTTAATAGACCCCCAAACATCAGTGTATCAGTGTCTTACAGCAAAGGACAATTAGTTACTTGTAATGATTGCTCATAGCAAGAATATGAACCATTAAAAAATTTGCTTTTATGGTTTTTAAGGCAAGGAATGTTTTAATCCAGTGTTTTCAAAGGATTTTCTTAGGAATATTAGAAAAATGATACTATAAATAGCTTTGGCAAAAACTGAGCTAAACTTACACATTATTTACTGCAATATTACTTTATTACTTTATTTACTTATTTACTTATGTATTTATTTATTTATTTATTTCAGCATCTTGCTTTGTCACCCAGGCTATAGGACACTGGTGCAATCATAGCTCACTGCGGCCTCAAGTAATTTTGTTGCCTAAGCTACTGAGTACCTGGGACTATAGGTGCACGCCTTCACGCCCGACTAATTTTTAAATTTTTTGGTCAGTCTCACCCCATCTCCAAGGCCGGAGTTAGTTTTTTCTTTTTTATGTTTTGTAGCGATGAAGTCTCGCTATGTTGCCCTGACTGGTCTCAAACTCCGGGGGCTCAAACAATCCTCCTGCCAAGAGGGCAATATAGTATTTAGCCACTGTGTAAGTCAGTGTCCCAGAAATAAACAGATGAGACACAGTGGATAATTAAGAAGCATTTTAAAAAGAACCAACAAGACATGTCATAGTGTTACCACCTCCCAACCTAAAGCAGCAAGAGAGGGGGTGGTTCCCAGAATGGCATAGAAGAGCTGGACGGAGAGAGGACTTCTAAGAAGCTGTGGCCTTGGAAGACATCCAACTGGTGGCAATTCAGCAAGAGGGAGATGAGACTGAGTAATAAATGCACAGCCTCTTTTCCCCATCCACTTTGATGTCTTGCTGGTCTCCCTTCTCCTCCTCTGCCTTCCTTCCCTTTACCCAGACCCAAGAGGGAGGCAGCAGACAAAGGTACCCGCAGAATATGCAGACCAACTTTTGGGGCACAAAGTAGGGTGGAGGATGGTAAGAAGTGGAATTGTCATGTCCCACTGTAGGTCCCTTTTTTTCCCCACAGATGACTGAAACTAGTGTTCTAGAATGCACTTTGAGAAAAGTTGACAGCATTCAAATACCCAAACTGATGCACATATATTTTGGAAGTGATAATATAATGGTATCGTAGGATGAAGCTGTTTATTCATTTGTTTTCAATTTAATGAGTTAAGTGTTGGTTTTGAGGAGAGTGACAACATAATGTTCATTTGGACATTTGGAGATATATCTATCTGTATATATATCTATAGATAGATAGATAGATAGATAGATAGATAGATAGATTTTTTTTTAGAAAAGGAGTCTCACTCCGTTGCCCAGGCTGGAATAAAGTGGCACATGGCTCACTGCTCTGGACCTCCAGGGCTCAGGCAATCCTTCCCAAGTAGTTGGATCTTCTACCTCAGCTTCCCAAGTAGCTGGGTCTACAAAAGTGCACCACCACACCTGGCTAATTTTTCTGATTTTATTTTTTGTACAGATGAGGTCTTGCTATGTTGCCTAAGCTGTTCTCAAGCTCCTGGGCTCAAACAATCCTCCTGCCTCACCCTCCCAAAGTGCAGAGACCACGCCTGGCCCATTTCATTTTGGTTTGTAACAGTGATCAGAGGCTTGGTCATTTTTGCAAAAATATTCCAGGACTTGCTTTAATTTTTCCAAATGCCTTTCTTAACTGTTGATTATTCAGATAAGCTTCTGTTATGACATCCATATAAATTTTCTTCTTTTTTTCCAGTTTTAGTTGTCCTAACTCTGCCAGATCCTCCTCTGACAATAACTTTTGTTGTGATTTGAGCAGTTCTCAAATATTACTTTCACTGACTTTCTCAACCTAAGTAACAGAAACGCTCTAAAAGAAAAGGTATTTATTTGAGAAACAAAGATTGCAATGAAAATACACCTGACCCAGGAAGCTATGTGCATATTCAGGGACATAAAGAAAGATAAAGTTTTCTAAAGGAGAAAAAAATATGAGGATTACATAACTGTGCTGAAAGAATTATCCTTAGCTACAAAGATCAATAACAAGGGTGACACCAGTTCGAGGTTGGACAGGCAATTGCTGGGCAGGTGTCCTTGCAGAAGTTTTTCTTGTGTGTGTAAGGTTGTGATGGCCTTTGTGCAAGGTTGTAGTTTCTGTAGAGTTTTCTGTGATCATTTTGTTATCAGACATACAATGATGCAAACCCTCTCTCCATGGCCTTTCCCAGTTCTATTTGTCAAAGGTTTGGTTTTGTTTTGCTTTGTTTCATGTTTTTTTGGTATTAGGGATTCCATTTTGATTCTAACTTTCTTTTTTTTTTTTTTTTTGAGTTGGCGTCTCTGTTGCCCAGACTGGAGTGCAGTGGCCGCTCCC